GCTTGGGGTTTCCAAGGGGCGGAGAGGGGGCCGCAGAGGCGAGATCCGGTCGATTGACAAATCAAGACACCTGGAATGGGCACCAATGGAACCTTTGGACGCTCTGGAACCTTTGACCCACACGAATGGGCACCACACTTCAGCTGACGCTCAACCTTTGCAGCTGATTTTGCGGAGCTTTCGAACTCGAACCGCCAGGCCTTTTCTCAGCTGCGGCAGAGGCAGATGACGGACAGGTTCCAGAACGTCACGCCACCCGGCGCCTGAGGGACGCGCCGGCCCCCTTAACACATTGAGAATAAAGTGAATAAAGGGTCAGCCCCTCGCTCTAGACTTGAGCATGGAATATAGCAAGCTCCATTGAAGACCAAGTTGCAAAGTTGCGAGGACAGGATCCGACGTCGTCGACATTTGATGTTGCAACCCATTGTGATGTGCAGTGGTAATCACAAGCATGAAGTTGATCCCAACAATAAGATTTCTATAACATGCCGATGAAGAAGTTGTAGATGATAGACCATATGAATTTGCATGATTGTAAAGTTTACAATACACATTAAACAATAGGAAGCACAAAAACTGACATGAATAATAAAGTGAACACAACGTACAACATGAACAATCAAGGCATTAGAATATAGTAAACTATGCTTCAATAGCATAGTTACATGAGAAGTATGAGTATAATAAGATGTCAAGAAGGTCATACTAATATCATATACGCACAATGAAGATAGACACTTAAAAGAAGACAACAAACTAATATAACGAGAACGAAGAAGTACTCTAAAATTAGTGTTGCATCCAGAGGTTTACATTGGCTGGCTATAGGAATGACTTCATGAGCTACATCTTCACAACTCTTTCATCGTCGTTTATCTTTTCATACATCACAAGGCCGTTACAGTTGTCCTGCAGCAAGGGCTTTGCAAGCCGGCGTCAACAGGAAGCATTCTATCTTGCTAGCTTGCACCCAATGATGCAGAGACCCAAGAGCCTGCCAAGACACAGTTTAAGGACTTGTTTCAGTAGCACACTGTCGTTCTGATCACTGTTGACATGTTTGCTTCCAAGAATGTGAAGAGATCTCACACATGCAACCGATTTTCTTTTGAGGCAGGTCGGCGCATAGTATGTTCTGTAGGGTGTTGTTTGTGGATTCTGTTCTTCAGTAGACATTACCTCGCCGTGAAGGGTGTCACTGATGCGGGGGTTACATTCACCCTCGCCTGTTGAGCAAGACTAAGACCTCCATTTTTGTGCAGTTGCTTTTTCACGGACTTGCTTGAAACGCCCATGCTGTTTGAGGAACATCAGTTGGAGCATTCAGGGTAGGGCCATGCTGGTTTGCGGCTGCAGTTCCACTCATGGCTTCTTCTCAAGCCAAACAACATCAAACAACCCTTCGCAACCTGCCATCTCATACTGTGGCAGTTTCTCACCCGCATCTTCATGAACAGCAATGCTAAAAACACTTGTTGTAAGTCGTGGCCTCTACTTGAAGCACGCGCAAAAAAATGCGTTGTCCTTCCCTCAATTCTCTCTTGCCAGATGAGTTTGTCATCAAGCTTGACTCGGGTAGATAATTCGCTCCCATGGGTGCTGATCGGGATCCAAGAGAGCTGAGGCACGGATCCAAAGAGATGTTGACTCAAGTCGTGGCGCTTCTGACCACTGCTGTGCACTCCCCTTGGTTTGAGTGGTGCAACTTGGCGCAAGACATGGAGGGAGACGGCCATCCCGTGCTGCATGTCACCTTCTGGCCACGTCCGAACGTGTCCAACCATCATTCTACAGGACATGTGTGCATCCTCTGCAACCCTTGGTGATGTTTGAGAGGGATCTTACGAGTTTTGGGAGAAGAGGTGAATGGTTCTAAGGCGCCATCCCAGTGAGACTTGTGGGAACGGATTCAAGGTCCAACTTGGGCCCTGAGAGTTGAAGCGGCTACGGGCTATTCGCCTGGAGGTACCTATGCCTTTCTGGCTGGTGAATGGCCATGAACAGGGTTTCTTTGAGCCAAAAGAAGACCCCAAGGGCTAGAATTTGCAAGGCCTCCGAAGGGCTGGAACTTGCTCGGCCCCCGTTTTTCTTCTTCTTCTTCTTCTTTTTTTATCCCTTGCTGCGTTGCGGTTTCTGGTGCCCTGGGTGAGCAGCGTGAGGCATGCTGCTCTTCGTGGTGGCCAGCGCCATCGTGGTGGGGGTCGAGGTGGGGAAGGGGCGGAAGGCGACCGGCCTCAGCTCCGCGAAGCTGAAAACGCGCCCGGTAGCTGTGAGAATCATGAGGTGCTTCTTTGGGCGTGGCTCAAGATTAGACGATCGGAGGGATTGTAACCGCGGGTCTTGGTCCATGTTTCCACTTACCAGGGTCCTATTTTGGGGCCCGGTTTTTTGAGCCACAGCCATTTGATGTTGCAAAGCTGATATCAATGTCATGAGATAGAACCTTACGCCTGGGCATCTCACGCGTATTTGTTTCTGTGATCCGACAGTTGGCTGCTGGGTGCCAACTGGTCTTTCTGTCCGAGCTGCGAAGTGTGCAATATTTCTTTTCTCCAGGGAACCAGTACCATCCAGGAGCTCACGTCTCCCGCCTCGGGTTCTAGGTGGCTGTGAGTGAAGGAGTATGAAGTCTTGCCAGTGCCGAACTTCCGTTGTTTGCAGTTTTCGAGTTTCATCATCAAGCTTGTGAAATAATCCAATGCAAAAACCTCCTCCAAACTGATTGCTAGTCAGTCGTCTTGTCGTTTTTCCTGCAACTTCCTGCAATGTTTGGAGTGAGAGAGCGAGAGAAGGGAGCTTACTTCCTCACTGTGTCAGTTCGACATTTCAGCAATCACTTGTCATCATAAGTCCAAAATATTCAACTGCCGCAAACAGAGACCAAGCCCTCGGCAGTATGATCCAGCGTTTGATTGCTGCGCCTTCATTTTGAGCCACTGACTCGGGCAGGTCAACAAGGGCGCAGTGAACGCAGAGAGCACAAGCCCTGATCCGGGACTGATGGCGGTGAAGCACATCCTGACGACGCTTAGCTGGAAACTGGCCCGGTTCCGGCTAATAACTGGTTCTTGGGTAGATTCTAGTCCCAAAATGAGTGGGCCAACAAGGATTGCAAATTTGCCCATGATGGAAGTTGTGTGGCCGACGAGATCTGGATTTTCAGTTGCCGCCTGCGTGTCTCTCATATTTTGGGCACCCCACACCTCCGTAGAGCGTCATTTGCACTTGAGGCTAGTTTGGAGGTCAGGTGTTTGCCGGCAGTGGGCAACTTGGCGCCTGAGGGATGCAGCTAAAGGCTGAGCCATGCAGAACGAAGCTCCAGGAGCTGAGCCAAAGGCTTCCAGTCAACCCACCAGTCGGGACCCGCGAGGCACCCGTGGCACTGGGCATGGCGCAAATCTCCGGCTGCGAGTCGAGGCTCATCTTCGTGCTGGAGGTGGCGGCCAAGCTTTTGGTAGATGGTCTCAACTTCTTCCGGGTGGACCTTGGGTGGAATGTCCTGGACATGGCAATTGTCGTAGCAGGCGCGCCTATAGTACGAACATAAAAATGGGGGTGGAGAAACTGAAGCTGTGCTGATCACTTTCCCAAGTGTTTCTTCAGCGCCAGTGCTTTCGGCTGGCGAGTGTGCATCATGTGTGGACCTTCTGCATTCTGCGGTCAGGCACCATCGAGTTCTGCTGGGACATGACAGTTGATTCCGGAGAGAAAGGAGGCGGGCATGGGAGCCATTGAGGGACTTCCCCCCCGCCTCTTGGGCGCGATCACATCAACTTCAGGGTTCCTGCCCTTGTCGATAGACACGAGTTTCTGCTTGCCACTTTGCCCCAATGATGCCCGGCTTTGGTGTTTCTTCCAGCCAAGTGAAATCGACTTTGGTCCAGAGGTCAGCAGCCTTGACTGCATCTGCCAAAGCTTTGACAATACTTGTTTCTAATGTTCGTCGACAAAGGATGCGCAAGGGAATGTCCTCAAGTGATTCTTGAGAACCCGGTTCGGTGCCTTGAAGCCTGGATGTTGAATTGCGCCAGTTTGATTTAAGCCCCAGATTGCAGTGAAGGGAAAGATCCGGTTGACTTGTCTTGGCTGCGCTCGGTTTGCAAGCCCATTCGGCCGCTCGGCCTTGAGCACAATTGCTGGAGCAGCTGGCAGAATTACGAATGACGTGTCTAGTGGATGCGCCTTAAAGACATGCAGGGGAGTTTGTTGTTTACCCCCTGCTCCCAGAGAGGCAACATTTCCGAGAAATGCTGATCATTCTGAGGGTTCCCTTGGGGTTGGTAGCCAAAAGGAGACCAACAGGAGCCCAAAACGAGACCAAAAGGAGACCAAGTGGAGACCAAAAAGGCGACCAACAAAACCAACAGGAGACCAAAAGGAGACCAACAGGAGACCAACAGGAGAGCACGGCCTGCTGACGGCGGTGCGGGTGGGCCGAGCGCTGCGCCTCTTGCGGATCCACCGGCTGATCCACCAGGTCAAGGCCTTTCCGGGAAACGCCCGAATTCCCCGGGTCGGCTGGGTAGGGTCTGGGTGGGGTCTGGGTGGGGGGTCTGGGTGGGGTCTGGAGGGGGTTCTGGAAGGTTTTGGGAGGGGCATCGTCATTCAGTGTTTGTGAGTTTCCGGACCATGGCCGTCCCAAGTGTACGAGAGTCATTAGAGTGGCAGCCCAAAGGCATGACCGGCGCCGCTTTTTCCTTGGGCAGTTGTGCATGGGAACACATTGACATGGTCACTGAGGTCTGTATGCATGATCATGACCCTTTGAACAAGGCTTTTGGATGGCAACGATGAAGAGCGTCGTGAGTCATGACCGTTCCTCGACTGGATTTCAAGTTTGGTCTTGATAACGCTTATGAGGTCCAGACGGTCCAGCTGACAAAATCAGAGGAGCACGCTCTTCATGTGTGACCCTCTCAGGCAAAAAGCCTGATCGGCTTTCTACGGTGTATCTCACATGCATGCTTGGCATTGAAGGAAGCCGAGACGTGCTTGATAGCCATTTGGGCTCCTCGAGCCTCCACCATGTCGCGTGTACTGTTCATCTGGCACTGGCGCGGACATGACAGAGACGCACCATGGGAAGGGCATGCTGATGCATGCAGTGCAGAACCACGTGGAGTCCTTCAATGCATTCCTTGAGCACGGCTTGGAGACCGTTCTGCAGGAATTGGGGACCACTGAGGCAGGGGAGATCACGGGAGTGTGTGTGCCTGAAAAAAAGGGGACCCCCATTTGGCTGGTTTGCCCTTGTTTTTCCTTCAAAGCCCAAGAATGGTGTCCACCGTGTCAGAGAAAAATTAGGGGGAGCTTGGAGTGGCCGAAACAAGAGGAGGTTGTTTTAAACGCTGAAAGGGCGTGGAACGTGCATTGGCAGTATACAACTGCGAGATGATTGTCAACTGGGATCAGGACTGCTGTGACGATCTACACGTTTGGTAACAGAACAAGATTGGAGACAATACAAATGCTATGTTTCAAGCCAACATGCAATGTTGCCTAGTGAAAGAGCATAGCACATCACACCTGCAATCTACAGGAACAGTTTGTTGATTCTGGATGGTTTTCGCGACACTTGCCTGATGGATTCTGAAAGGCCACCCGCGTATCAAGCGGGAACCAGAAACGCCAGGAAACGCTGAGTTGTTTGTACATGGGTGGCTTGGGTGTGCACACACATCAGTATTTTGGAAATCAATTCGACCTACCCACCCTTTGTAGCGGGTCGACATCCTACGCCCCCAACATTGGGCGGGGGCTCTAGGAGCGGTAGCCGGAGTCTTGCTTTCAGGTGGAGCCTTGGGAGGATGGGCCAAGCCTGAAGATCTTCGTTTCCGAGCTGACGGTATCGAAGCCCGTGTGCAAGGCAGGGCTGAGGGGCTATTTTGCCATGTGTCAGGGAGGTCTCTGCTCCCGCAGTTGCGTTTGTACTTGGGCCAACAAATCACCACGCAGTTCTCATTCGCTGTCTTGTCGATCATGTTGGTTGAGCTGATTCGGGGATTGCCCTGCCCTGCAAACATATTGAGGGTGTGGCCTCAATGGGCCCAGTATGGCCCAGTCCGGGCGAGCTGACGGCGAAGCCAGGCGAAGCGCGCGGAAAAGGAGGCCAACTCGGAGATAGAGATGCAGAGGATCGCCCCCCCCCCCCCATTTTGGCGCGCGCAGCGGGCGAGTTGGATGCGTTTATAAACGCATGTGATATATTGTGTGTGTACACACATGTGTATATTAAATATATACACATGTGTATTCTGGCAGTGTTGGATAGAATGCGTTCTTTTGGCTGGATGGGTGAGTTCAGCGTCAAGCTCGACGTTCAACAACTTGGACAGAATCGGAACTAAGGAATTGTTTGTTTCCTCTCCTCACGCATGTCGCACGGTTGGCCTTTCTCACTCCCAAAGGGTTTTGTTTGGATAGTGTCGGTTTGTTGTTTGAAGTTCATTTTTCGACACCCGCGAGATCTGATGGGTTTTCGGGCAAATCATTTTCCCTCTCCGCATGCCGAGTGGTTCAAGCACGGCCTTGGGCTGCCCTCTGACTTAAAAGTCCCTGCTGGGTGCAATGTTCATTGTTCGCGTTCCCCTGTTTGGGTCAGACTACGATGATTACTTGACATCGGTCCAAGAAACGACACGTGCGACTAATCCCTTCTCCCTAATGCTAAACCCCTAATGCTCAAACCGGTTTTTCCAGGGGGACCCGCTGAGAATTGGGGGGGGGGACAATTGTTTGGGGGGGACGTTTAGCATTAGGGGGCAGGGATTACAGATGAACGCCATGGGCTAATGCTTCTACCGCCAGACACCTCAGCTCACTCCGTCGCCAGGGCTTGGCTGCCCTCGGACTGCCGTATGTCCCACGCCACCTACGGGGGCGCCTTGACGGCGCGCATCGAGGCGCGCGTGGAGGGGGGCCAAATGGTGGGCACCTACGTAGAGCTCGGGGACATCCCGCTGATGGTGCGCTCCAAAAAGCGCCGGGGCGGCGTGGGAGGGGGAGTCAGCTTGGAAGGGAAGGCGAGACTTTGTGGCAACTGGCTGTGGCTCAAAAACATGTACAACAATGGGACCTTGCTAAATGGAAACTAAAACTAAAACCTGCATAACCCCAGGTCTTTACTTGCGCCGCACCCAGCTCATGTTTTTTCATGGGGAACCAGTTGTTTGTGGACGTACATTTTCAGCTAAATGATGTCCACCGAAGGGTTGTCCACCCAAATGTACTCCATGTGGGAATGTGGGGGTGAGAGAAGGTTTATGGGGTCTGCAAGCAAATCGAGAGGACGCCTCCGGAGGTCTCAGAGTAGGCATTATGGCGTAGAGTCTCGGCTCGGCCAACCTGGAGTTTTCCTCTCAACCTCCGGCACTGTACTTGGCAAAGAGGGGAGGACTGCCCAAGAAACACTCAATATACAATATGGTTTTGTGCTCACATGGCTATGAATTTCAACAGGGAGCCACCTCAAAAGTGGTTGGTGGACATGAATCCCCTCCTAGATGAGGTCCACCACAGCGTACTTAAACAAAGTTTTCCTTAAACAAAATTTGCCTCCAGATGGGGCATGTCCTGTGAGGAGCCTTGCAATACTGTTGAAGCAAGCAATACTGTAGCGAGTGGCTCCAAACTACCTAGGTGGCCCGCAGTCTGTGATGCTTTGGTGCCGAATTGCTTGCAAAAAACAAAGTCTTGAATCGCTAAGTTGATTGCATTGCTATATCGCTCAAGTCACACACTGAGCAACCCAACGTGAGCTCTATGCAGATGCATCTTCTTCTGCGCGTCCCTGCCAAAAGGCAACACTACACCATTCACTAGCTGGCCTTTGTTCATCGTCCCCCGCTGCTCTTTAGTCATGGCTCCGGCATGTTAGCTTTGATTGAATTGAGCTTTTGACCTCTCAGCTTGAGGCTGTGCAAGCTGTGGGGCATAGGTCTTTATTAGTCACTGCAAACTCCAACCATCGACTTTAACCAGCAGCAGTCGATCCAACTTGACCCTCAGCTTTAATCTTGAGCCCACTCCTCCAATTCCGCGCCCTCAATCTGCAAGGATTTTCTGGAAACTACTCCCAAGCCTGTTTCACCAACTATCCTGGGACGCCGCTCTGGATGTCTCCCATGCTCGAGATCCCCCTACGGTGGTTTACCTCTTGTTGCCACGTTCCTTAACCTCGGCATAAACAGTAAAACCGCCATCCCTTGCCTTCCGCAGGCCCCAACGGCACCCGGCGCATCTCTGCCCGAGGTGCAATCTCTGCGGGCTGAGCCCCGAGGAGTTGGTCCGGGCGCGCGAGGACTGCACGGAGTCCGGGGGCTACTTCCTGCTCCGCGGCCTGGAGCGGCGCCTCGCGCGAAGAAAGAATCGGAGCTCGCGGATCGCAGGGTCTCGTTCTTTTCTTCTTTCTTTTTTTCGGGCTGGTAGACACTCAGTTGGTTAGTGGGGCCCTTTCTTCCTTTCTTTGGGGTAAGGGTTCCCCTTCAAACTCAAGCAACCCAATAAAGGGTGTGCTCTTTTTTCCCATCACTGGGCATCTGAGGAAAAGTTGGGGATTTGGGGAGACCCAGTTAGAACAGGTATGACTCTCAGAAACTCATGGGTCTGACGGTTTGCCAGAAAAAATGTGTCCGGTGCCCCATGAGATGGGAGCACACTTTGGGGATGGTATTCAAGGGAAAGTCCCACAAGGCACCTCAGTTTGTGCTTGTTAGGACCTTCGGTTGACCAAATGGCAGTTGCCAATTGGAAGGACATGTACCATCTATCCTGAATGCGGAGCCCAGTGAGGCAGTTGAAGCCCTCCTTTCGGGATGCCCGTCCATGAGGATCATCAGATTGCTGGTCATGCCCAAGTGCAACTTTCCGATGGCCATCAACCGGCCCTCTTACGAGAGCCGTGGGAAGCTGTACACCCAGCACGCCGTGTTGATGCGCTGCATGCGAGCGGACGGCTCGACTCTGACCAACACGCTGCACTACTGCAGAGATGGCTCTGTTACACTGAGATTTTCCCACGGCAGGGAGGAGTGGCTCATTCCCCTCATTGTCGTAGCCCACAGCCTTTATCAGGTGTCAGACCGAAACCTGGCCGGTTTATGCGGTGCATGAAGTATTCGTCCGACTGGTTTGGTTATTTGAGCTGTGAACGAGCACCGATTTGTGCACACTTCCGACAGCAAACACATGCCCGCTAGCCAGAGGCCTAGCAGGCTCTGGGTCAGCATTGCCCTTGTCATGTTCAGACTTTGCCGAGAGTTTGTTTGACGTGTGTACTCTCTCGGATTTGCAGGATAAGATGTGAGGTTTCGAAAACGAATCATCGCATAGCCCTACTGTTCGCGAGCCTTTGTGTACTTTAGCTGGTTCCTCTTTAGCAAAGGTCGGCTCAAGACTCCGGAAAGAAACAAGAACGTGTGAACAGATGTCGCTTTTGTTCGTGCACCGATTTCTCATCGCTACCCGGTACCCATCCTCTCAATTCGCACAGGGTAGTGACAGGGCAAAAGAGTCAGTGTGACAAATGCACAAAGCGGAGCTTTGATCCGAGGACTATCTTCTTCTTCTCCGAACGCCTTTGTTGTTTACTTTGTGCAACAGAGTTCAACTGCCGCCTCCCACATTTGGTCCAATGTTGATGTTTGGGGCAGTGGCCAACTGTTCGGCCACGGCAAATTGGCAAATGGCTGTGGGTCAAAACCAAGGATACCATTTTGGGGTAGGTGCACTGCTAAATTTCGTGGGTTTGACGTTTCTGGCAGTTATGGGTGCTAACTTTTTGGAGGGTGTCGGTCGATGTGTGTCGGTTCGGCAGGGGATTTGGGAGCTGACATGTTGGCACCGCATGTGGCAGAGCTGTTTGGTTAGGTCTCAAGGCATCACAACATGGTTATATTTAGAAAAAACACGGCAAAAACCACATCACATCAACGTATCATATCATATCGAGGTCATTTTTAGGCCATATAAAGTAGTATATAGGGTCACAACTGGATGAATTTGACCAACCACAAGGATCTAGTTGCAAAAGCACAGCAAACGATTAAACATGTGTCAGAACATACTGGTCTGAATAGGCAGTGAGCTTCCCACATGGCCTTTCCGCCATGGAAGATGATGCCTTCAGGCGGGGTCTTGAGGGTGCTTGAGGGTGGGCTGTTCAAGGGATTGCCCAAAATCTCAGTTGTGAGTTGAACCACAGAACCACAATCGCATAATCATCACAAATATTCACACACACATGCATTTTGACATCAACACATTGTGGTATGGGACAATCCCAACCATAAATGGGTGCATCCGCTTGTTTAAATTTGCACAGGAAATGGGCATCGCGGCTGGACGACGTGAAGGTGGAGCTCGGGCGGCTGTTTTCGCTGGTGGTCAATGGCGGCAATGCAGCTCAGGCGGGGTGGCGAGCGGGAGCTCCAGGATTGAACTGGTTGAAAAAAACGGCCTTGAAGTACTGAAGGGAACTTTGTTTTATAAGGGGAGGGGAACATGTTGCTCTTTGTTGGAAGTGGTTGGGCCCTCCATATGTAAATTGTATGCCTACTTTTCAATGTTAAATGAACCATGTCCACGTCATTGTGATTGTCTGGCAAGGGTGGATTACTCAATGTGTTGTTCTGGGTGTTCAGCGTTGACGTGGCTGTGCGTTGACGACATGCAACTTGGTGAGCCCGATTCCTGACAAAGTATCATCAAACCCTATTGCCATTTATCAGGTTCACAGTTTACAGTGGCTTGGGCTTGGACAGATTAAAGGGTAACGGTAACAATCACCGTGCCGTCACCGTCATCTAGCGGGTTTTGGATTTCTTGTTGTTCTGGATTCTGCGCTGGGCCTAGGCCGGTTTCATTCCGAGCGCCTGAACCGTTGATGGCGTTGATGACCCTTTAATGAGGGATCTTTCAAACAGGGCTGGAAACAAAGAACGCCATCACAAACTGGATTGGACAATAATGTTGGCGATTGTTTTGGCGGCGCTGGTCCCACTTGTTCAGCACATTCTCGGGCTGGCTGGTGTATTCATGATGGGACCACGTAGCATTTGTGCTTACCAGTTTTGCTTTGCACAGCCGGCCGGCCCCTCGCTGAGCGCAATGGCAGTGAACATGGACGTGGAGGGCATGACCATCATCGGAGGAGAAGGTTTGGGTTTACTAATAGCATGTTACAAAGACCATTTCGGGGTGATTGATACTCAATCCATCCACTAAGTACTGTGGGTGGGTGGGGGCAATGGCAAGGTCCAACTCGGTCCAACTAACATACAACAAGTGTCTCATCATGTTACACTTACACTGTTACATTACATTGTTACACTTTCCAATCTATGCTTTGAATCGTAGCCATCTTGGAGTCTTGGAACCCTGCAGATTTTGATGGCGACGTGTTCAGCCCCGGCGTGCTCAGCGCTACGACGGCGCCCGCAGACTCGGATGTGCACTCGCCCACGGAGCTCTGCGATGAAGACGATGAGGATGTGGAGGTGGTGGAGGTGGAGGTGGAGGAACCGGCCCAGCCGGTCAGGGGCAGTGCCAGTGGTTGCACTGGGCTTAGTTTTTGTTATTTTCTCATCAGTGGGAGTCGGGGAGTCCGGGAAGTTTCAGTTTTCCAAATAAGCTTCCATGGGCCATTCTCTCTTTGGTATAAGAAACAGCAGACCCACCTCAGGTTGCCCTACTTGCGGGGCCGCTTGGGACCGCAGCCGGCAGATTGCGCTGGAGATGGGGGCCAGTGGCTAGGCCATGTTGGTCAACAGTGTACTTATGCCTACTACTTACTTTGTTGTCTATGTTGGTGCCATCCCCACCCGTCTTTCAACCCAAACTTCAAAAGCACACTCACAGACTCACAGACACACACATCGGTACGGTACATCTTCATTTCGCCATCTTAGGATTGGCAAAGAAGCTGGTGAAGAAGGATGAGGGCAGGGGCAGGATCAGGAAGCCGGCTGAGCCTGCGATACTTGGCAATCATAAGGTTCCTGGACCGACCCCCCCATCCCCAACTCCAGATGTTTTAGTGAAACCCATCCGACGTGTTTTTCTCAGCGCATTTGGGAAACGTAGTAGTAGTTTCAGTTGCGATGGTCAAGCAGCAGTAGACATGATTTGGGTATCCTTGTTTTTTGATTCATTTTTTGATTAAGACTCAGTGGGCTCAGTAGCCAAGGAAGGCGCTGGAGGCTCGCCGCTCCTTTTTGGCGATGATCCTTGCGCGGCGGTGGGGCTTGACGCCCCGCTATGTGCGTGCTCGGCTTCAGCACTTCGCGGGCCTCCTTGAGAAGGGCGAGCTTGTCAACCTCGTGAAGCAGTGCAAAGTGGGGCCATAGGGCCACAGGGCCAGGCCGGGCTGGTAGCTTTTTCCCAGGCGAAAAGCCTTTTCTCCGGATGTCACTGCATTAAAGTGGCTTAGGTCGAGCTTAGAGGTGATGCAACGGGTTTGGATTTCAGGCAGGTTCCTTCAGGTAGAGACAGAAGATCTAAAGCAGTACAATGAACCAGATGTGTTGAGAGGTGTGTGCAAACCAAGAAACCAAAGACCACAGCTGGCTGTCAAAAACTGCCTGAAAACTCCGGACAGCCCGGTTTGCCAAGTTAGCGGTCTGTGGCAAGCGGCTGCAGTAATTGTCGGGAGCCTGGCACTGGGCGCCTGGCGCATTCAGAAGTTTGGCTTGGCCTGCACAGGCCTTTTCTCCAGATGCCACAATAAAGTGGCTTAGTGCTTAGGTCAGAGGGCCCTTCGGGGAGCCGGGTTGGATTTCAGGCAGTTTAAGTTTCAGAATAACCCGATGAACCGGATGTGTTGAGAGGTGTGTGCAAACCAAGAAACCATTGGGGACCACCCGGTTTGCCAAGTTAGTGGTGTCGCGAGCCTGAGCCTGCCTGGCGCATTCGATAGGCTTAGCCTGCACATCACGTGCACTCGATAGGCCTTTTCTCCAGATGCCACTGAAGCAGGTGGCTTAGAGCGAGAGCCCCTAGGGCTACCGCAACCGGTTTGGATTTCAGGCAGTAAACTTCACAGTTACAGACCATCCCAAAGCAGCCCGATGAACCAGATGTGTTGATAGGTGTGTGTAAGCCAAGAAGCCAAAGCTGACAAGAGCTGTCTGGGACTCCGACCGCCCGGTTTAAGTTAGTGGTCTTGTGGCCGCAGCAAGTGTCGGGAGCCTGCCTGGCGCCTGGCGCATTCAGTAGTTTGGCCTGCGCTGTACATCACATGCGCTCGATAGGTCTTTTCTCCAGATGATCCAGATGCCACAATAAAGTGGCTTAGGGCTTAGGAACCCTTAGGGGTCATGCAACGGGTTTGGATTTAAGGCAGTTTCAGTTTCAGGCAGAAACATAATACATCCCAAACCAGCCCACTGAACCAGATGTGTTGAGAGGTGTGTGCAAACCAAGAACCAAAGCTGCCCAAACTGGCCACCCCCGTTTGCCAAGTTGGTGGTCTTGTGGTCGTGTGGCCGCAGTAATTGTCGGGAGCCTGGCACTGACTGGGCACCCGTCGCTTCAGAAGTTTGGATTGGCCTGCAGGCGGCCTGCACATCACGTGCACTCGCCAGACGCATTGGACGCATCCTGGAAAAATGAGCCGCCTCATGGCATGCCTCATGGGCCTTGAATGTTTTGTGTAACCATTAACCATTGCAGAAACATTATGCGACACAGGCCCAGACATTGCCAGACATCAGACGGTCATCTTGCTTAAATTGTTGCACAGAAGTCAGTTGCGTGACATGACATGACATGGGCCATGAATATCAGCATTTGATGACAGGTGTCAGGCTGTCAGGTGTCCCAAATGTTTGCCTGTTGTCAGATGTCACTGTGAAACATCATATTGACCAGATCATTTGACCAGGACCATTCCGGGGAGTTGCCATGTCAATCCCTTGTGCATGGGGGCCATTGTCCATGTCATGACATGATGTGGGCTTATGACAGGGTTGCTGGCAGTAGTGTTGTAGTACTGAGAAGTACTTAGTAGTCCCTTGCTGATTGGCAGGTGAGCTGCTTCCTGGCCGCGCTGGCTGCCATGGACTCGGTGGCGGAGGAGATACGTGG